CTATGCTGGGTGCGGGGAGGGGAGTCTTTCTAAGAAATGACGCCTCTGCTTGTGCTGTGTGATCCGGCGGCCAAAGGTTTGGACCCGTGCAGTCTTGGTTCGTCGGTTTGTTGGTTCCTTCCTTACATCTTGTCCACTCAGCCCCTGTGGGGTAGGTAGGTGCTGAGGCTGCAGAAGTGACAGATGCCACACTGCTGTGCCACAGCTCCCAGGTCAGCAGGCCGTGCCCATTCTGGCTGACTTCTGTGGATGAGCATGTCCAGCCCCGGGCAGGGTCTTTAATCTCTTGAGTCTCAGTTTTCTCATCTGTGAAATCATAGAGATGCTGACATCTGAGTGTTATTTTCTGAATGAGGGAAAATATGTGTCAAGCATCCCAGGACAGTGGCTGGCACATGGTAGGCAGTCACCTGGCAGTCCAGAATGCCCAGTGAGCATGTCCTTTGAGCATCATGCCAGCGCTGAAAGAGTTTTGGATTTTGGAGGATTCTGGATTTTGGTTTTGGGATTTGGGTTGCTCGAGCAGTACATAATGCAGATATCCCAAAATCCAGAACAAAACTGAACAAAAATCAACTCTGAAACATTTCTGGTCCCATGCATTTTAGAGAAGAGATCATTGACCTGTAGGAATAATGGTACTAATTATCACTGTATTTATACCATATCATTTTACTCACACAATTATTGATTGATTTGAGACAGACATGTCACTCTGTCACCCAGGCTGGAGTGCAGTGGCACGATCATGGCTCCCTGCAGCCTCGGCCTCCCAGGCTCGAGCAATCCTCCCAGCTCTGCCCCCCTAGTAGCTGGGATGTGCACTATCATGCCTGGCTAATTTTTGTATTTTTGTGTGTGTGTGGAGATAGGATTTTGCCATGTTGCCCAGGCCAGCCTTGAACTCGCTTCAAGCAGTCTTCCCACTATGGCTATTATTATTATTGGAAAGAGAATTCTCTGTGAATTCACTTTTTGTTTAAAGAATTGGCTTTTCATTGAAGCAGCAATGACAGATACCAATGGGCTTTCCTTTCCAAAAGATGGGAATTAAAATGATGGCCAGTATCGTAAGCCTGCAGGCGTAGGTTAGAGGCTATGCTGTTGTGTAAGTACTGATTTTCTCTAATGCAAGATGGAGACCTTACGGGAGAAATGTACAATACCCGAAGGTAGGTAAGATTTTCTAAGTTAAAAGGTTCAGGAGCTTTCACTTAAGTATTAATTTGAGGGAGAAATATTTTAGTGAATTTGAGAGTTCCCTAGTCGCTGGCACAGTGCGGGTTCTTTCTTATTTCTAGGGCACAGCAAGCGTGAAGATCAGTTGTTCTCTGAGGAGGGTAGTTTCTCATATTTCTTTTTAAGTGTCTGAAGATGCCATGGTGTTTGACTTTGAACCCTTGTTTTCCTTTTATCCTTTTTTCTTTTTTTTTTTTTTTTGCAAGATGGGGTCTTGCTTTGTGCCCAGGCTGGAGTGTAGCGGCTCGATCTTGGCTCACTGCAACCTCCGCCTTCTGGGTACAAGCAATTCTCCTGGCTCAGCCTCCCGAGTAGCTAGGATTACAGGTGCCCGCCAGCACGCTTGGCTAACTTTTGTATTCTTAGTAGAGATGGGGCTTCATTAAGTTGGCCAGGCTGGTCTCCAGCTCTTGACTTCGTAATCTGCCCAGCTCGGCCTTCCAAAGTGCTGGGATTACAGGCGGGAGGCAGGGAGGCACTGCACCCAGCCCAATGACCCTTGTTTTCTTAGCTTGTGTTTTGTGAGTGGCAGCCCAGGAAAGAGTGGGGACAGATGTAGGACGTGTTAGGGGTGTGTGCTCGGACTGGGTCTCTCCTGATAGTGAGGGAGAGTTCACTGATTCCGTGGTGGTGGGTACTGCTGTCATTCAGTGGCACATTTGAAGGACTTGCTGTGCCCAGAATGGTAGTCAGTGTCAGTTCGCTCATGTTTTCAGCCCTTCTTCTGTTTGACTTTAACAAGGCTGAAGTGTCTGAAACCCCTGTGGCTGGTTTCAAGGATCAGTGGCATTGGAGAGTGGAGTGATCATCTAGCAGTATTATTTTCTGAGGAGTATTATTTCAAAATGAAAATAGTTTTATTTTTTAAAATGATTTTTAAAATGACGCACTATGCAGATAATTGAAGCATTCCGGGTTGAAAATCAAAAGAGGCAACCACTGCTAACACTTTTGGTGAAGGACCTTCTGCCTTTGTGTATATGTAAGCACAGACACACATTATGTACACCTGTGTTCTTTCCTTGAGCAGTCTCTTGTAGAGTTTCTAAAGTAAATGGCACACAGACTGGCCTTTTACGTGTCTGCCTGTGGCTGTAGCAGTATATCTGAGCGATCTTCTCTTGAACATGTCGATTGTTTTTAGATTTTACTAAACAAACTTCTATTGAACATCCTTATGTGGTTCTTTTTCATGTGACCAATTGACCTTTTTGGTATATATTTTTAGAAGTGGAATTATTCGGTCTAAGGGGCATCCTCAAAAGGTTATGCCAAGTACACGGCCACCAGTAATAGGGTTTGAAAGTGTCTGCTCAGAACCCTACCGATTCAGAGAGTAAGTTCCTTGCGGCACTCAGGAAGGGAGTCTGACCTGTACTATTTCACAAACATTTGTTTGATTCGGCTATTTGTCACGCTTTTCCAGGACATGAATGATTGGATTGTTTGACCAGGCTGCACGGAAGTTGGAACACCCTGTGTTTCATGAATAAAAGATACTCACTCAGTTTTATTCAGTGAATCAAGCAGCTCTTTTCCAAAAGCAGCCAGCAGAGATTTTGACTGGCCTGGTGCTGGGTACCGTGTGTCAGGTTCTGCTGGAAGAGCTGCCCCTTTACGGAGATATGAAGGACCTGGAGATGGTCCAGCCTAACACCACACAGTGGTGACGGTTTGGGAAGCCAGCCCTCTGCTAGGAGTGCAAAGGAGTTGGAGGCGTTTAGCCTCGGGAACAAGGACTGGGGGCGGGAGGGAGGCAGCTGTCTGGAAGTCCGTGAAGGAATATTGTGCAGGTGATCTGGACTGAGTTCTCGTCTTCATCTGCTGAGAGGAAGGTAAGGGTTGAATCTGCAGTGGGCGATTAGTCATTCGCAAAGGACTTCTTGGCTTCAGAGATGAGTTACATAGAAAGCGATGGAGTCACACTTTCTGGAGAGTTTACATTAAAAAAAAAAAACAAAAACAACAGAGGTCTTAGGCTGCGTGGCCCCTGGGGATGTTTGCTTCATTGTGCCCTGTTTCTTACTGGTTTAGAACTCTTGATTTTGTACATAGTCACTGGTCTGTCTTATGAAACCTGAGACCAATTTTCTAAATATATATTGAAGAAAAACAAAGTGATTGGTTTTTCTTTTCTTTTTTTTTTTATTTGAGATGGAGTTTCGCTCTTGTTACCCAGGCTGGAGTGCAATGGCGCGATCTCGGCTCACTGCAACCTCCACCTCCTGGGTTCAGGCAATTCTCCTGCCTCAGCCTCCTGAGTGGCTGGGATTACAGGCACGCGCCACCACGCCCAGCTAATTTTTTGTATTTTTAGACGGGGTTTCACCATGTTGACCAGGATGGTCTTGATCTCTTGACCACGTGATCCACCCACCTCGGCCTCCCAAAGTGCTAGGATTACAGGCATGAACCACCGTGCCCGACTGTGATTGGTTTTTCTTAAGGTTAAAAAAAAACCAGAACAGCCCCATATGTAACTGAGGAGATTTCAGTTTGGGGCCTCTGCTTTCTCCATTCCTCGTGACACACCTTGTCCCAGTTTGTTTACGGATCTAGGTAGTGGGAAATTGCTGCATGCTATTCACAGGAAAAAGGGGAGAGAGAATATGAATATTGAAAAGGTCTTTAGCAGACAGACCTGGTGTTTGAAAACTCCAGCTGGCAGTTCCTAGTGTCTGATTTTGAGCAGGTTTAGATTCTGAACGTCAGTCTCTGCGTCTGTAAAATATAAGGCAGTAGAACACGTGTCCTCAAGGATTCCTGCGTGGATTGATTGACATTCCTATAGCCAGCGCAGAAGTGCCCAGCACAGTGCTGGTCAGATAGCAGACCAGCTCTCTGGGCGAATGCTTGGCTTTCCTGCCATTCAGCTGTCCCTGTTGGCAGGAGGACCAGTGAGAGACACACCAGCAAGTCCTGTAGATGGTCATAGGAGGGAGAAGCTGGGGTGGATTAGAGCCGTCAGGAACATTGAAGAGAAGAGGGGCCCTGAGCGGAGTCCCGAAGGCCAGGTGGGACACAGGTCGTCCCAGGGTGTGGAGTGAGCCCCCAGCTCTTCCGTATTCTAAGGCTGTGGCTTCACAACCAGAGAGCGAATCTGTCTCTGAGTTTGTTAAAAAGCTGTGACATGATTGGTTTTAATAAGGAATGGATTCCATCTCTGGAGAATAATTTCTAGTTTGTTTTAGAGAGTGGCTCCCAGGTGACTGGCTTTTTTAAAGCTTTCCTAGCACACAGCAGGGATATGGTGAGAATGTGGGCCAGCCTCACGCATGCACTCAGCCAGTGTGGCTCCCCAGCTCACTCTGTGGTAGGTGCTGGGTGCGCCTGAGCGTCTGTGTCCCCAGAGCCCACCGCCTGTGGCAGGGCCTTGGCATCACCGTCAGCGTCTGAGACCAGCGAAGGCTGGCATGTGTGGAGTGTGTGAGGAAAAGGGGCGCGCAGACACTGTCACGGACTCCGGGGAAGGGGAGTTCCATGTTGTGGATGCCCCAGTGAGACTGCTGCACGCACCCTGAACCCGGAGATTCGGTGTGGACTGGACGGCATGCGGCCGGGCTGGGGTGTGGATGTGCGCGGGAAAGTGAGAGAGACTCATCAGGACTGGCCTCCCAAGCCTCTTCACAGGACGAGGTTCTCTTTTGCCGAAGACTTTACAAAGGAAAGAGGAAAAGACTGGCCACGTCTGCTAATTGGGAATACAGAATTTCCTTCTAAAGGTCATGCTAATTTCTGTGTTGCTTTTCCTTTCTTCCCAGCCTCCTGACAGTGGGCCTCCACCATTGCCAACGTCCTCCCTCCCAGAAGGTTATTACGAGGAAGCCGTGCCGCTGAGCCCCGGAAAAGCTCCAGAATACATCACATCAAGTGAGTGGCCAGCCCTGCCCAGCCACGCTGCCTTTGTGATCTGCGGCACTGTTGCCGTGCCTGTCCCGTTTCTGGGCAGGAAGGAGAACAGGGCAATAAACATGGGCCAAGTTATTTTTGAACCCAAAGAGATTGTCAGTGGAGGAAAGGTTTTGAGAAGGACACTGAGTGCCTCACACACAAGCCTCTATTTATTCCAACTGCTGTCTTCCTCGTGTCTCAAAGGCAGTGAAAGCTTACTGCTGTGGCGACAGGTATCAGCTATGCAGAAGAGAAATGGCTCTTCGTGGTATGTTTTTGGGTGCGTGCTGCAGCCCCCACTTCCTTAGTCCTTGGTGTTCTTGGGCTGCACCCATCCTGCCACGGTTAGAACAGTTTCCAGCAGCCTGCCTGTTGGCTTGGAAACAACTGGGTAAACATGAATACGCATCTCGGTCATAGATGTCTGGCTTTTTCTTTTCTTGGGGTACGGGTTCTGTTAGACAATTTCTGCCTAAGCCCCAGTTCTCCCGGCCCCATTAGTTGCCTGTTGGTGGCGCTCAGAGCTACCCATTTGTTAGTACCCAGCTTCAAGTTCGGATAAAGCGTGGCATGCCGGTGTTGAATCTCCAGAATTTATTTTTATTTAATCGTTGCTGTATGTCTCCTTTCAGTATCTGTCTGGCAGGGAGCTACCATCTCATGATAAAGTTGAATAGTTGAATATATGTCAATTTACAGAATCCAGTTTGCTTTTGAAAAATAGAAGATAGCTGGGCGGCAAGTGACAGAGCGGTTGCTGGTTGTACTCAGAAGGCTTCTGCTGTGTTGATACTCTGGGCGTGGTCTTCGGCCTCGTCTGTCTCCTTAGGGAGTCGCTGTCCTTTTCACCAGAGTTCTTTGACTGCTCCTTGCCACACGGCCACTTTGCACTTTGGATCTTCGTCTCCTTGGCAGTCTGTGGATGCAGCCGTTCCACCAGAGCAGGCTCTGTCTTGATGACGGGAAGGAGGTTGTAACAGGAGATTCCCTGTTGGCTTCTGTGAGTGTGGGGAAGGGGTGCAGAGAGCCAGGCCAGCTGGACTGCACGCCCCCGAGGGCGCGGGCCGCTCTTGCTCGCCCGCCTATCTCCGGGCACAGGCTGGGCCGAGTGTCAGTAAATAGTTGTGCGCTGGATGAGAAAAGGTATAGTCCTGATAAGGTGGTTGTGGATTTTTAGGTTTTGAGAATAATTTGTCAACTATTTAAGAAGATAGTAGATTAATTAGAAAGCAAATTAAAGGTCTTGCTATAACTCAGAACTTCGTTGTTTCCTTTCTTTGTAATGGCAGTGAGTAAAGACAAGCACATTTTCTTGTTAGGTTATTTTCTAGCGTTTGGGACGTTTGTCTCTGGCCTTCCCCCTGCAGTGTACTTTCAAGGCTGGAAGCAGAGTGACCGTGTGATTTTGCGGGCTGTTGGTGGTTTTCATCCTGAGGAGCTGCGTGTAGCTGGTGGCTCACAGCCTCCTCAGTGGGACTGCTCCTCAGCCACTGAGTCCAGAAGGAAACGTGAGTGAGGAACTGATGCCTGGGGCTGAGGACACGACAGCGATGGTGCACAGCAGCTTCTCCAGTCCCGTCTGCTGCGGGACTCTCAGTTGGCGGCCCCAGGGACCCACTAACAGCTGCCCCTGCCTTGAAGAACAACAGCCGTGGGTTGACTTGTCAGCTCAGTTCAGGATCATGTCGCCCTCAGTTAGATGCAAACTTTGAGATGGTTTTGTTGAACCTGTGTGGGTTAGGGTCTCATCAGAGAAGCCAAACCATTTCGAATGTCATGGATTGAAGAGTTCATTGAAGGAATGAGAGCGTGTGCAGTTGTGAGAACTTCTTCCCTGGAAGAAGCCTGTGGAAGGCAGTTTCTGCTGTGTCTGGTTGGGCTGGATGAGGAATGGGGAAGAGGAGGGACAGACAGACTGGAGCCCGCATCTCTCCTGATGGCACGTGTGACCAGCAGCAGCCCGTGCCAACCGCAGCAGTCCCTGCCGTGCACCGACCTGCAGAGTCCAGGCCGCTGCTCCCCTCTGCCTTCCACATCACTCCGATTTCTCTTGTGGCCACCCTAGTCCAGAATCGTCTAGGAAAGGGAAGTTTGGGAAGTGGGGTTCCGGCCTTGCTGGGCAGATACAGTAGAAAACCAGCAGTTTCTCTTTGGTCAGCCTGGCACCCGTGCATACCTCCCTTAGCCACGCTGAGTTTCCCAGGAGAGGCAAGCAGTGCGTGCTTGAGCCTGATCCCACCACCGCCTGGGGGACGGGAAACTCCCCAGCTCCTGGCAGAGGAGACAGAGCCCCTTTGTCCATCATTCGGGTGGCGTCTATTCTCTTCTAGAGCCCTTAACCTAAATTCCGAGATATTAACACAAGATGGACTCCTATTAGCACTTCTTATGTGAGATGGTTGGGGCCTGGGAGAGGGGGTGGAAGACTTAGTTTCTATGTGCACAGTTATGTTCTTATCAAAACAAGGAAGGAAAGCCTGTAACAGGTTGTCTCCACACCTGGCCAGTGTTCGTGGCTGGAATGGATCACTTCCGCCTGCTGTTCCCTTCACATTCCCACTGCCCTCATCAGACCCCTTGGTGGGTCGTGGTTTCTTCTTGCTGAGTGATCCGACTTCCTTTCCTGAAAGGTTTGGGCCTTCAGTAGCACGTCAGTATTGGATGATCATGACTCCATTCCATTTCATCAGAGGGTGTGAGGACACAGAGGGGCACTCGGGGGGGTCTCTCAGTGCCCCTGCACGTTCTTCCTTACTCGCACTATGGGGTAACAGCTTCCTCACAGTTGGGGCCCATCACTTCAGCCACGGCCCGAGCTGCTGCTTTGCCTGTTACTGACATGAAGAGCCTGGTGTGGCCAGGTGGCAGTTCCTGCTTCCCGGTTAGTGACATGAAGAGCCTGGTGTGGCCAGGTGGCAGTTCCTGCTTCCCGGTTAGTGACATGAAGAGCCTGGTGTGGCCAGGTGGCAGTTCCTGCTTCCCGGTTAGTGACATGAAGAGCCTGGTGTGGCCAGGTGGCAGTTCCTGCTTCCCGGTTAGTGACATGAAGAGCCTGGTGTGGCCAGGTGGCAGTTCCTGCTTTCCGGTTAGTGACATGAAGAGCCTGGTGTGGCCAGGTGGCAGTTCCTGCTTCCCGGTTAGTGACATGAAGAGCCTGGTGTGGCCAGGTGGCAGTTCCTGCTTCCCGGTTAGTGACATGAAGAGCCTGGTGTGGCCAGGTGGCAGTTCCTGCTTCCCGGTTAGTGAAAACATTGCCATGTCTTGGTCTTGGACTAGTGCAGTCCAGCATTTTCGGGAAGGAAAGGAAACATGTTAGTGTCACTGGGGGTAATAGTGAGAAGAGACTCCCCGTTTCACCGCTTCATCCTTGGGCTGTGGGAGAAACAGCACCACAAAGTCAGAAGGTACACTGCCAGAAGATGCTCTGACGTCTGTCGCCCCCAAGCCCACAAGCTGTCACCAGTTGGCTAGCACTGTCACTGAATATTCAGAAAAAATTATTTTGACCTATTAGGTAAGTGACTTCAGGTTACTGGGGACTATGCCAAGACGAGTGAATTTCCTGAGCTCAAACCCGTGTCGTGTACTGCAGTGGCTGTAGAGTGCATTCCTGGTCAGAAGCAGTGCTGTGGGGATCCCATGATGCAGAACAGGACATTGATTCTCTAAGGCCATGTGGACCCAGTAGGCAAGTTTATTTTAGTGATCTCTTCGTGATGGAAGTGGACCAGGGATAACAACCTGCCATTAGGTGCCAGCTGATACCCCAGGGATGGTGTCCGGGCATGGGGGTGGGGCGGGGAGGTTGATGTTGGCCTCTGCTGTTTGCAGGTAGGGTACTCAGAAGTACCTGGAGGCGGATGAATTTCCTTGAGTGAAGTCCGTGTTTGCCGAGTTCCATGCATCACCTCCATCCCTGCCACCAGGTCCACATGTACACGAGCCCATGTGGACAAGAAGTCTGGGGAATGAGGCTGACTGATATAGATACAGGGAGTCATGGTTTCACTGGAGTCTCAGGATGCTCTTCTCTGAGGCCTGTCTACATCATGTGCCCATCTCTGAAGGTCTGTTGACAGCATCTTCCGCAGACCAGTTGCTTGTTACCTGTTTCGTTTTGTTTTTGTTGTTTTGTTTTTTTTGAGATGAAGTCTCACTCTGTTACCCAGGCTGGAGTGCAATGTTGCGATCTCAGCTCACTGCAACCTCTGCCTCCCAGGTTCAAGCAGTTCTCTGCCTCAGCCTCCCAAGTAGCTGGGATTGCAGGCGTGGGCCACCATGCCCAGCTAATTTTTGTTTTTTTTTTGGTAGAGACGGGGTTCCAACATCTTGGCCAGGCTGGTCTTGAACTCCTGACCTGCCTCAGCCCCCCAAAGTGCTGGGATTACAGGCGTGCGCCCCCAGTCCCACTGTGTTGCCTGTTTATTAATCATGTTCCTCTTCGGTGTTGACCATCCGGCCCAACCATTCGGCGGTGACCAGGAATCGTTGTTGGGGAAGGAGGGAGGGCACAGGACTAAGGCTGCTTGCTTGCCCCCGTCTAATGGAGTGGGTGGAGCCTGCAGGGGTCGGGGAGCTGAGCCCATGGCTGCCCCACAGCGGCAGGGTGAGCAGCGAGCTGGAGCTTCAGCAGGGCCTGGCTCCCTGTGCTGTCCTCAGAGATAGGCCTGCCGTTTCCTGCTCTCCTTCCACATCCCTCACAGCCTCTCTTGTGGCCAACCCTACTCCAGACCGTTGAGAACAACGGAAGGGTGTTGCAGTCCAGCTACGCCGACCTGGCATCTGCTCACTGCAATGCTTGTTGAGTGTTTTGATTTCAGACTTAGAGTTCAGTTTTATTTTTGGTCTTCTGATTTCTCTGTTTTGTCCTCTTCCCCTCTTCCTCCTTCGGGGGATTGACTGAAATGCCCTTTCTGATTCCATGGGGTGTGGGTGTGTGTGAGTGAAATACGTCATGTGATATAGCTGCTGTTTGGAGA